AAAATATTTTTACATTTTCGGCGCTCAAAAAACATCACCTAAAAGCTCTCAAAATTTAAACCAAATAGCTGCCGTGTCCAACACTAAAGTACCAAGCAGCCGGCCATAGCAGGAAAGCATCAGTAAAGGGGAACATAAAAGTGAAGCAACGTAAAATAGAAGCATAAAACAACTACTATATAGAATCGAGTGGTTTTTCTTCTTCACTTCAAGTATGTAAATGCCAACTTAAATGGCTTTCCAGAGCTTTGCTGTTGTTACAGTGTTTTTCGCTGTCATGCGACAGGATAACTGGCGCTCAACAGTCAGCCCAAGTGGCGGGGACAAATTTGAAAATTCGTTAAGCACAAACGCGAGACTACAAAATAAGATTGAAAAAATATATAAAATAATCGCAAGCATAAAATGTAAGAAATGTAAAAGGAGAAGCAAACAAACAAGCACAACAGCGAACCATCAATTGAAAAGGTTAAAACCAAAGTGTAGTCAGCGTGAAAGCCAAGGCCATACAAAAGAGCATAACAAAGAGAAATGGTTGGCGAGCGCAGAGGAGGTAATGTTTTGGCGACGGGGCACGAGGCGTTCGCAATTTAAATAAATGCGCAAAAATGGCCGGTTTCCATTTACAGAAACTACCCATAAATGTCGCAATTTCATTTATGTGGTTCGTGTCTGACACGCTAGCACGCGATAGGAACAGAAGAGAAGGGGGAGAGAGACATTTGGTGTGTGGGTAACAAAGTGAGTTCATGTCGAATGGCACCCAGGCGTGTGATACGAGTAACTAACACAGCCACACACACATGCACGGCTTGATGTTAGCGAGCATTCAAGCCCTTCACCATTTCGCAGTGGCACACGTACATATGGCAGTAGTAAATCCACCGACGCTTAAAGTAAATTTAGACGTGCAGCCGACAACTGCTGATGGCATTCAAACTGCTGAAGGCAGTTCGGAAAAACGGAATGCTGCAATTCAATATTCTAAAAAAGAGCTATAAGAATGTATTTGCCGTTCTTGCATGCGAATTTGTATAACGTACTATGTGTGTGTGTGTGAGTTCTGTAGGATTGAGCGCACTCTTTAGCCGCATTCTGTGATCGGACTTCTACCACATTGTGGTATTTAGATCTGCCATTTTTTTGAGCATCTACCACTCAAGGTCTGAAATCTATTTTTGCTTCACATAATTTTTTTTAATTTTAAGCGAAAAAATTGTCCAACCCTAAGCACTATATGGTAGCAAGAATGATTTAATACAAGATTCTGCATTCCCGGCGACAGGGAAATTTCTCAAGCAAAGGTAAACAAAGCCGAATGGATGGATAAAATAAACTGTAAAATTGTAAATTTTCACAGTAATCAATTTTTCGTCAGGAAACGCCGTTTTATTGTGTTAAATTGCAAAAGATATGATTTATGAAAAAAATAATAATAGTGAAAATGTTAAAAACGGCGCTTTTTGTGAAAGTATTAGCAAATTTATGTACATCTAAGGTTTCTATGGCGTTGTTTACTTTTACTTGAGAATTGACAATAATCGGCAAATCCCAATTTGCTGTTTCTGGAATGTGCCACATTTGTCTGCTACTTCGTGATGTGATAAAAATAAAAGCTGGCAGCACTCCGCAAGGTTGCTGTCAACTTAAATCTTGCCCTTTATTATACTAAAATTAAATATTTATTTGAGTCTAATTAAAAAGATTGCCATTTAGGTGAAACCTTGCAGAATTTTTTTTAATTTTTGTACAAAGTGTGATCCAAGCCCAGAGATCAACCACATATTTTTTTGAAATCTATCACATTTTTTTCCAGATTCTACCACACAGAATTTTTTTTTGAAGTCCGATCACTGGCCGCTTTAATTTCTCATCAAAGTTCTTATGCTTATTTTACAATTTAGCATACTTGCTCGAAGTGTAGATAAAGGCGCTGAGTGATTGTAAGTCAAATGAGAATATGATAGTAAAAAGGAAACGTGCTATGTTGCAAAATACCGCCTACTGTTTTTCAAGTTGAAAGCAATTTCCATAGCACCAGGCGAGATCATTTAAAATCCTAGCAAAAAAAATCTAAGCGTAAAAAAGTTAATGGTGAATATTTACTAGTGGTCGAGAATATTATCTATTTTTCCCCGGAACGAATGTTTGTAACAGCCTTACAATTCAGAGTTTGTACTTTGGTTTCAAAGTTATATGCATGATGCCAGGACATCCAAATTTTTAAAACCGCTTAAAATAGCGCGAAGAGTAGTTGCCTCTAAGACGCTATATATATGTGGAAATTAGGAAACACCTCTCTATGCATTTGAAGAATTTCAAAAATTAAATCAAAATCACTTAAGTGGTTGCCTTGCATTTATAAAACGCCATAAATTTGAATTTATCTTTAATTCATTCTGTTTCGGTCTATAAATTATTATTTGAATTTGGAAGCCCGAAATTTAACTTTTTAAATTTGAATGTTAATATTATTTTCCACGAAATTCCCATAAACGGACATCTTTCATAGGCGGACAAAAAGTAGGTGAACATCGATGTCCGCTTATGGCAGCTTTGACTGTATATCATATGGTTTTACTTGGTGATTTTTCTTTTCTCTATTTGATGTTCATTATTTCTTTAAAAGTATTTAGCTCACTAACAAAACCATGTAACTTTCTGTATTTGAGGACACAAGGGGATAGGATTTAAAAACCTGTAACCCTGTGGGCAAAAATAGGACTCTTGAAAAGAACTGGGCATCTAACATAACCCAACCTAACTATCCCTGAAAAAAATAATAATAATAAAATAAAAATTTTATGCGGTTGAATTCTGCGCTTAATTCGATTTTTTTAACTTCTGACAAATAATTTTAGCTGGTGTGGTAATACCGGTCGACAAAACCCAAAAATTTTAGAACACATACAACAATCACGAAACTCACGAAACTATCAGCCAAATATAGTAAAACAGCGTTTTTGGTTTCTCTGACGCCAAGATACGATTATTTCTAAAAATTAATTAAAAATTCAGTGCAATGTAAACTACTTCAAAAATATAGGCACCACATGAGAGAGAAATTTCTGTTGAATTAAAAATAAATAAATAAAGTTAAAAGGGCTAAACTCTAGTATCTGGTCGAGTGTAAATTATTTAACATACGTTTTTTTCAAAACAAAGTATTTCAAAATTTCATGGATATTCAAGGATAAAATTATGAAAGGATACAAAAAACCAAAATGTTATATGCTTTAATTCTAGAGAACGAACTTTCTCTTTAATTTGATACCCATACGGTTTTTGGTATATTGCACTAATTTTTTTAAGTAATTTTTTGAAGCAATTATATTTTTCAAAGTTGAATTCTTATTATCATATATCTTAAATTAATTATTTATTGGTGGATATTAATCGAAATGAGTTTAGAAGGCTTGTCATTTAGATAGCCTTAAAACATATTTTGGAAATAAAAAAAATGGATTTCGATATCTATTAAGTAAATTTCTTAATACATATCTCGAGCGTATATGTAACTACTACTACTATGCTTACTATGCTTAATACAAAAAATACTGATTGAAAGTAACAAAATAAAAATGTTTATTACATAGAAGCGTGGCAACCCTGATCAAAAATACTTTCGGGGCAAATTTCTCAACAATACCTTTCATTTGATATCCACATTGTGACGCTTTAGATTAATTGTGTAGATTCGAAAATAAGTGGCAACCTTACACTATTATCTATCATATGGGATAACATTTTGTATAAAGGGAAAGCATGGTTTAAGAACCTTCTCTTGGTACACATGAATATTAATATTTTAATTTTTTTTAACAAAAAATTACACAAATATGCGATTCAAAATAGGTGGCAACCCTATTAAAAAATATTCAATTAGGGATATTCCATTTGATATACCTATTATGATGTTTTAATTAGTTAGTAACTAATTTCGAATAGGTGGTAACCTTATAGGAGTTTTCTTGAAAATAATGCCTATTCAGATAACCTTAAAATGCTAAATAATATATATAAGAATTGTTCGTTTAATGTAATAAGAAAGATAAGATATGTACCCTAATTTCAAACGAAAGTATTTAAGAAGATTTTATTTTGAAAATAATTTTGAAAAGAGCTGCCAGCTGTTTAAATAGAAATTCGAATTTAGTTGACTTATACACAAGATATGTATTTATATGATGTACATATCTTGTGTATAAAATAACTAAAGCTTTAGTTTTAAAATACTTTTGGTTGAGGTTGCCAGCTATGACATATATACATAATACATGCATACTAATACATACACATAATAATACATACATACATAATACTCGAAAGCATTTTTTCTGACGACGTGAATTAGCGTTTTACTTTTTGAAGTGCAGAGTGATTTAAAATTAACCCTTGTTTGCCCAACCGGGTATCCGGGTACTCATCGACACATATTGTGCCAAATAACTTTTTTCTTGAAACAATTATTTAAAATCCTCCCGGATACCCACGATTTGACTGCTCTTATATGGAGAAATGCATTTGAAATATTTTATATTTCTTTTCAGCCCAGAAAATTTTGAAATTGAAAAAAAAAAATATCATAGAGACCTTCTTATTCAGTTTGTAGTGCCAAAGCTTCTCGGAATTCCCAAGTATAAGCTCTGGCTGATTACAGATTATATCGATCTTTGTATTACAAAGGTCCTTGTGTATAAAACTTTCGTTGGATTTATATAAAAAGAACTTCGTTAACAATAAATATATCCATATACATCTAACATCCAGGGTTTTACTAACTTACAGCCGACTTTTAGATATAAATAAAACCGTAACGTTAATTAACTTGGTTGAGCACACTAGGGTTAAAGAAACCGAACCGGGCGAGACTGCCCTCCACTCAAAAATGGATCGTTTATAACTTTGAGACTAGCATTTGGAATATTTTTTAGGTTTCTGAAGCAAGAACGATAGAATACAAGATTGCGCATTCCCGCAGAATGACATTTGCGGCAACGGGTAAACAAAGAATTTGGCGAAGAACAATGAGTTGACAGTTGTGAATTTGCAATGAGAAAACGTGTTTTCTTCACAATTCACCAATTTTTCAAGCCATCTTATAGCAAATTAAGCACAACGTTAACAAAAATTATACAACCTCTCTTGAAATGTGTTCAAAAGAATAGAAAGAATTTTGTGTTTGTATTGCAGGTGCCGGAAAAGTGATAATATCTTGTCGCAGCGCATGTTTTCCTGCACAAAGTGGTCGATGCTTGCTTACCTCCGATTTTAATTTGTAAATTGTGGTATTTCAACGTTTTCAACTTAACATGTCGTGTTTAAAAGTGGTGCTTTCAATTGTATGTGGGCTGGTGTTGCTGTTTGAGAACTGTGAAGCTGTGGAAGCTTTTGACAAATCTCCAAAGGACCAAAAGGAAAAATCAACTAAGTTGCCGCCTTGTAAATCATGCACTGTGCTTGTGGAATCATTTAATTTGGTGAGTGCGTGGCAGTAATAACAAATTTGTGTCGTATTAATATAAACTTTGCTTACAGGGTTTGGAAAAAATAAGTCGCGGCAGGCATGCCGGTGGTGATGCAGCTTAATTTCCATATTTTCCATAAATGAAGTGGTGCTTTATCATGCGCGGAATGCACTTAAAGGCATGGTACGTCCTCAGAGTTTAAAGATTTGTCAATTCCAAATCAACACGGGCTTCATACCGGAACAAGAAACATTGATAACATCTTCCTCGAATGATCTCGATGATTTACCGGATGCCGATCAGGTTCCTCATGACTTTTAGGTTTCGCTGTCGTTGAGTTTCACGGATAACGAATTTCCGCCGAGTAGGAATCCTCCTTGGTTACCAGCAAAGCCCATAAGAAACGCACAACATATATTTAGTTCGCAATTAGAATTCGAGGAAATGGTGGATAATTTCGGCAAGTCCCTATAGTATTTCCGCCCATTTCAATTATTTATTTATTTTCCTTACAACAGTGACAAAACCTAGTTCGATCAACAAACCTACGCCTGTTAGGTCAGCTGCTTCCGTAGATAACGCCTATTTTACCAGATGCTACCGAAATAAAGCAAGAGGATGTACCTCGAATCCAACCTCAACCATCACCACCAATAGACATGCTCAATTTAAACCAGCCCCAACCCCAGCTGCCGGTGCAAGATCCACAAGCCACAACGAGTGTCGCTAGTTTCGATTTGCTTGGAGCATTCGGGGATGATAATTCATCTGGCATTGGCTCGGCTCCAATACCTGATATTTTAGGTAAGGATTCGGTAGATTCAAAAAAGTCTTAGACTTTTAGGCGGCCATCCAAATTAATATTTGCTAAGTTCTGAATAGAGACCTACATTTCTATTTTAGAAATTAATGTACAACCAAGTTCAAATGTCAACCTTGATGATATCTTCGGCTCAGTTGCTTCATCGGCGCCGAAAATCAACCTGGAGTTTAATAGTTTTTCTGTAAACCAGCCGACACCAACTAGTGCAAACCAACCTGGTGTATTGGTGTGTGTCACGTCAGTCTCAGCAAAATAGTCTTGCATCAACAACCAGAGCTCAGTACGTCATAGTTATTTTTCTTCTCTGTTTTTGGAAGCTAGTGCAATGAGGTATAGTTTTAATAAACATTTATTCGATTTGAAATTTTTACTACTATAGTCTTTATTTTGCAGTATATTATATACATATATTTGCAGTATATTATATTTTCATTGATCCGCTTAGTTAAGTTTAACTATAACGAAGCAAAATGATGTGTAAAACCAAGTAATTGCTTTTAAATCTAAGTAAAAAAATATACATTTTAAATGACATTAAAAAGATACATGCATACATATATACGTTAAGAACATAAATATATATAGGATATAAAATTAATCTCTTTGTCAACTTAATTGCGGCCCTGAAAAGGGCCTCTTGTTGATTGGTATATATGTATTTATCTAAGCATAAAATTTTAATCTCTTTGTTAATTAATTGGCGGCCCTGAAAAGGGCCTTTGTATAAATCATATTACTTGCCTGCAAATAAATAAGTTTATATTTGTATAAAAGACGCTTGATGATTTTTTAAAACTAGGGACTTACGTAGCATGCAAGTATTTTAATTTTAGGAGTCTGAAATACTGAGATCAGTGCGTGTGAAATGCGGACATTGATTCATGCTGCAAGTAAAGAACGGTTAATTTCTACAAATTTAAAAACGCTTTAGTTCAAAACTTACCACATGTTTGGTATTTTATGCAATACTTACGGTTCTATAATGGTACCATATGGATCGATCTAGGTCAGAGTTTTTTTGGCTTTTCTTTTTCTTTTGTGGGCATTTTCAACGAGTTCTTTATTTAATTTTCGTATTTTGAAGAACATTCTTGCCCTGAAAAATAATTTTTTTACTTTAATGTCGCATTGAATTGTTGCAGCATGCTCAATGTGAGTTTTTACAAAATCATTTGTAATGAGCAAGCCATCTTCGTTCAATGCCTTAAAGACTGACTCAAGACTTCGCATATGGACCATCATAGAGGAGCTTGGTAGGGATAACCCACCCTCATTAAGGTGATCCGCCCAGGAGAATGAATGGTCGTCATTGCTCCTGAACGACGTGCTGGGAATGTCATCCTGCAGCTTGTGGCATGGCGTCGCGGCGAAGCGATGGTCGACTAGCAGTTCCTAAGTCTTTTATTAGATATCGACATATATAAGTAATGAAAATAAATGATAGTTACTCATGTAATCCTTATCCGTAAAGTGCTTCATGCATATTACGCTGGTGTCTAAATTGTATGGCTTCTCCTGCCGGCAGAACTCTACCCACTTTCTGGCCAAGGCGTCGTCGCGGGGAAACAAAAAAAAACTGCATTTAGGGCCTTTACCCCTACGGCTGCTGCAATTCAACACACGACACGACATTTTTATAAAGTTTTTATTACAAATAAAATGTTTTTTACTTCAGAACGCACGAATTACTTCGATTTTTCACTAGAAAATACACAATACGTTTGCAATACGTTTGCACTTGTTTATAAACAAAAAGTTTGTTTACGTATTGCCATAAACGTCAAAGTCGGCAAAACCAAAGTAGCGGTTTCGGGAATGCGCCACCTTCAGTTCATTACACCATGTTTCTGAAGAGGGTTGCTAACTGTTTAAAATTGTAAATAAAATTTTGGTGTTTTGACGCCTTGCGCACCTACCAGCAAAAAGTAATAGAGGTAGAAGGAGATAGTAATAGAAAAATAAGTCATTTTCTAACTGAAAATTAAAGATAGAAGGTTGCAGTTTTGCCAATTTTTCTATGTGGGTTTTTGTGACTGGCAATAAAATTTGCATACAGGATCGCAGTTAAAACAGTCGTTTCATTTGACACAGGCCACCAAATAGCCTAAAAGTGCATTTAATATAAAGAAAGGTAATTCAGCTAGCCCCAAGAACCTCGAAGCCAAATGAATTGCTAGCAGACAAAAAGATGAGTGCCAGGGCTGTAGCGTCAATGAACTAGAAGAATTCTCATTATAAAGACTACATCAAAATGTCGCCTGGCAATATATATGTAAAAATTTGTTCACAAAACCAAATACAAAAAAGAAGCAGTTGTAAGCCTTCACACTTACTTAACTCTGCTATTCAATAACACACATTGTTTTTTTTTTTTTTGCAAAATTGTTTAAACCCGTATCAAAAGCCGACTGCAGTACTTTTCATTATAACTTTGCTTTGCTCAAAAATTTTGTATCCTTTCAACATTTTCCAAAGCTTTCACGCTTAGCAAGTCGCCTGTCGTTTACTCACTTTACAGCTGAAAAGTTAAATATTAAAATAGGCAAACACGAATAATGCGCAATATACACTTGATATTCATGGCTACATGTGGCACATCACATATTATTGTGCGTGTGTCGATGTGCGTACATAACTACATATTTATGTACATATATGTGAGCTCACTCGTACGTGCTAAGATCCTTTTTGTAAACTTTACAAACTTTATGACCTTCAGGCAATATTTTTCTGCCAAACGAGTTAAGGATATTGGCCCCGATGATAACAGTAACACAACGGCTAAAACAGCAACAACAACAATAGCAACAGCAACAACAACAACAATAATAACCTTTAATTTCGGACATAAGTTATATACACACAAAGTAATTTTTCCGGTCTTGGTGCCATCGCTCAATGCTAGCGCTGGCTGGCACTTTCACAAAAGCTGCCGCCACTACTCACAATGGGCGCTATGGTGGTGGCAGTATGTACTCAAATTATTGCCGCTTAAGTGCCGAACACATTGCGAGCGACGAACTACGAACCACAGCTGTCAAATTATTTTAACACGCACTCTTATGTAGATAATTATTTTGGCGGCGACAGAGCTACACTACGACTGTGGTTGTGGCCCGATTAGTTCAATTTCTCCTTTTCCAGCGACAGATAAGGTTCTTCATATAAATTCATGACGTCGCTGCCGCGTTCAAAAAGTTCATGTCGCCTTCGACCAAGCGTTTAGTTAATGGAGATAGCGAATTGGAAGCTGTGGCCAGTAGCTCGTCGTTTTCAATGTGTTCGACACTTTATGCTATTTAGTGTTGTGATGGCATCGCTCCCGCCGTTATATCGATGCTATCTCCATTTTGAACTACTCTGCCTCGCTACAACCAACTCTTTACTGCTTGCTGGTTTACTTTACCGTTTTGCATATAAATGCTCCATTTTACGCGCCTTATTTTTATGTTTCCCAACACTTTAAATATTTAATGCGTCATTTCGAAATTTAGTGCGTGTGCGAATCTACTATTGAAAATCCGGCCAACAGTTTTATGTTGTTGCCAAAATAGTTGTTTTTACTTTTCGTTTTTTTTTTTTCATTACAATTGCTCACGCTGCATTTGCTTGAGCTATTGTTACACAATTCCATTTGGGCTCGTTACGGTTTTTATTTGCCGTATAGAATTTTTTCCCCCTTACTCTTTTACAAGCCATTTGCACATAAAATTGAAGTGTAAAACTAAAGTTGCTCAGTGATCTGTTGGCACGAAAGTGTTGAACACCAATTTGTAGGTGTTAAAAATGTTACTTTATTGCAGTTGTTGTTGCTTGCTTGGATTATATTATGTACGTTGTTGTAGCAGCTTAAGGGTGGTTGTAGTTATTGCTGTATGCTGTAGTGTTGTTAACGTTTTAGTCAACAACACCATCACCATCCGGTAAGGACCATAAAGTGTTGTACTCACTTCCGGTTTACAGTATTCGTAATTGCTTATTGTTTGCATTATTTTAGTTATCAGTGTTTATACGCATGCATTGTTGTTGTTATTGCTATTTAACTTTCATCCTCCAGAATTTGATGCGCTCGAAAGTGCTCTCGTATCCTTTTGTTAGCAGCCGTTCCTAGGATTTTGTATTTTATGTAGTTGGCACTGTATTTACGCCTTTGAAGTAAACAAGAAATGTGTAGCTATAAAATAGTGAAAATATTAAGCGAACTGTCCATTTAGCCGGAAGCCGTGGGATGTACCAAAAATGTATTTTTATGTACTCGTAGTTAAATGCGTTGACTATTTACGATGATGAAGATCTCTGACGATATCATTGACAGAATGTATTCCTTCATCTAAATCGTATAAAAGTTTTAGGAAGTGTAGGAAAAGCAAATATTTCCAGGAAAACAAGTGTGCTCCCACACAATGAGGCAGATACCTTAATATGCTAAATCTCACCAATCTCTCGCTGAACTGAAATGAGGCCCAACCGCCCAAGAATGAACTACAGGGGGTAAGACGTGGTCTCTAAAGGTGAGCCTGATAAAAAAAAATACTCCGACGCGCTTGATAGGGAGATCAAAGAATCCTTGACGAAATTCGAACTCTTTAGCAGCGAGTGCACTGCTTCTTTAATTACAGCCAATTCGTCCTAAAATACACTGCACCGATCTGGAAGGTTAGATCCATGCATGAAAAAGTTCAATGCTCTCTTCCTCCAGTCAGATCAAAAGGAAACGTGGTATCCCTATTTACTCTTCGCTGTGTGCAGGCTCTACGGCACGGCTGTGGGCGAGCCTTATTAAGTCGGTTTCAATCTCTCGAAGAATGTTGTTGTTGAATGTCCCCAAATAGGCATGTTGAATATACGATAGACAGTCACGAGAAATACCCAGTCAGTCAGACTGCCTGACATTTTTAGAAAAAAACGATGGGCCTAAAGTCCTTTGCGGAAGTCAAACGACTCTCCAAGCCTTGGCGATGTGTTTGGTCCTCAAGCAGTTTGAAGGAGCCAGCCAGCTTCAAGATACCTTCAAAGCTCTTTGAAATGGGCATCAAGAAAAAGTATCGAATTAGAGCAGCTACGCACAGTGGTTCGGATAGCAGATCTAGCTGGACGAAAGTCAAAATTTTTTTTTGTTTTTAAAATACTTAATGGTACTTGGAATACATTCCTGACAATACATTCAAATAGAAACTGCATTTATTAAAGCATTAACATATGAAAACAAACAAAAAAAGGTAAGTCAACGCCGCCTATTTGAGAACTCTATTTTAAAGGCTGAAATTTAACTTAAAAGATTGCTAATTGCACTCAAAAATATTTGCATAATTGCAAATTGACTTTATAAACAAAAAATTACACTTATTCCGCTATAGATTCAGAGGTCAT